GTGCTAGAATAGGATTTTCAGGCTTTTCCTAAAGGGGAAGAAGAGATTGCAGAGTTTTAAGTGGAATAGAGAAAAGGAAAGTTTGCATTTAGTAGATTATTCTGAAAGTAATGTGAAATATAGTGTAGAGAAAAAGCAAGACTAGAGGCAAGGAGACAAGCTGGGAGTGGGCCCTTTCATGAACCACAGAAGGGAGAGAGACAATGAAAGAAATTTTAGGCAAGAAATATTGGGGCAGTAAAATTAGCTAAACGTAATCATCAAATCAAAATCGTATAGGGACAAAGCAGAGAAGGACATCCAGGACAAATGCCAGGTTTATAAATTTCATGATTAGATGAATGATTTTATATATAGCAAGAGAAAAAGGACAGAGAGAGAATGGAGAGAGAGAGACAGGGAGGAGGGAGTGATATAGTAGGTTTTTATTATTTCATTTTAATGAGGTCATGTATGAGTCTGGACCTCTGAGAAGAGGTAAGAATTTCAGGAAAAGATGTGTATTGAGAAGGACAAAGATCAGATGATGAGCCCTTGAATAATGCAAACTTTGTTTAATGGGCAAAAATAGGAGTAAAAAGTCTATGTACAAAAACAAGAATAGTGATCAGAGTCAGAGAAACATAATCAGGAGAAAGTGGAATGAGGAAGCCAAAGAAAGTTAGTCAAGATGGAGGGAATGATCAATATTCACTGTCACAGAGACACCTAGTAAAATAAAGGCTGAAATATAAGTGTGTTCCCAAATTTTCCAGACTGGAATAAATGAATAATGGTTGTAGAAGATAATTTTTAGTTAGTTGAGGAGTTATTTATTTCTTTAGTCAAATCTATGCTTTATTGGTGTCTTTTTTCATTTACCTCTTTTACCTTTTTAAAAAAGACACAGTTTTTATTTACTTAATTCTTTTTCTATTTCCTGATTCATTAAGGTTTTATTTACTCTTGTTAATTGATTCCTTTTTATCTTTGGCCTTTGTATAACAGTTATCCTAGTTTCTAGAATTGATGATTTAATGAATTTATTCTTATTTTGATATTAGTTGATATATTATAAGGTAATATTTTTACTCTAAATAGCTGATAAAGTCTGATACCCAATGTTTTCATTATTGCTTTCTAGAAATTGTGTCATTTTAGTTTGTATTTCTTTTTTGACCCAAAAGTTTCTTAACAAGAAGTTTTTACACGTTAGGGAGAATAGACTTTTTACTTTGCTTAAGTTTAAGTGTGCTGCACTATAATCACATTAATATGGCTTATATTAGTCTATTTGGAATTTAGATTTTCTTTATGGCCTGACATATCTGGTAAATTTTCATGCCTGTACATGTGTTCCTGAAAATAAAAGTATATTCTTAATATTAGGGTACAGAGTTGATATATGTCCATAAGATGGTGTTGATTGTTTGTTGGAATCTTCTATATCTCTTGCTAATGTTTTGTTGGGCATATTTACCTGTGTATATTTATTTCTGGGAAGACACAGAGCAAAGTCTTTATAGTGACAATCTCTGGGCTGAAAAGTAGATGTAGGCTATTGGAGAGAATAAAGGAAAGTTTGTTCTTTATTCTATTTATATTTGTACTGTTTGAATTGTTTTACAGTGTCAAAGAGTTACTCTTATGTTTGACAAAAATAAAAAAATTGTTTTTAAATTATAATTCTTAAAATATCTAGTCATAGAATCATTTACTTGGCGTTAAATAAAAACTTTAACTGAACTTTCATTTTCTCATTATTTTGAAAGTACATTAAAACAAATTAACATCCTATAAAACTGAAACTTTATATAGTGTCTACAAACTACAATAGTTTTCTACTTATATCAGAGAAGCATATTAGGAAAAGTATTCAGTTTTGATTAGACTTTTTAAACTTAACCATTTTCTCCATTTTTTTCTCAAAGGAATCATGCTGGGTTCTTATGAATTCAGTTTTAAGGTGTGATGTTCTTCAGCATTTTTATCTGTCTTTTTGCATGAAGAAAAAGACAAATACCTATGAATTTTTAACTTTCTTCTGAAAAATTAAAGTTTCTCTGTGCAGTACCCTTCTAAGCTTCAGAATACCCTAGGGCGATCTCTATATTAGTAATTCTTTGAACTTGTGGTACAGTGCCCTACACTACAGGGATGACAAATTAAGCAAAGTTTGCTCTCATATTCATATGATAAAATTTATCTTAATGATATTAAATTATTTAAAAAGCAAAATGGTAATTGGCATAATGATGTCAATTACATCTCACTGAAGTGCTAATTCCATGGAACTATGAAAGTTTGCCAAATCACCTTGCTGGATGGTGCTTCTTTACCAAGAAATCCTTTACTTCTGCCATTATTTCTCTCTCTACGTGACTTTATCAAAATTTCCCTCATTCCCTCAATTCTATAACCTCTCTCTCCATATAAACCTCCACATTCTTAGCAGATGATTTCTCTTTCACAAAGGAAATCCACAGCATATGACATGAATGACCTCATTGTAGCCACAAATCCACTTCCCTTCTCCCAGTCAAGGTCATTCCCCTACTTAGGCCTTCGGTCCCATCTCTTCTCACTTTTCCAGGAATCCTCTGCAATCTGTTATGCAATATTTTTCCCAACATATTCCAACTGTTCTTTTTTATTGACCCATTTCTACTTACTTTGAACACCCTCAAATTTCTCCCATTTTATTAAAATAGACATCCTATGTTCCTATGGCGCCATTCCTTGTCACACTTATTGACAAGCTCATTACATTCATGTGAGCTATTTTTTGTATCTCCTCACCCTACTCCAATATTTATTCCTCACCCTACTCCAATATTAATTTTATGCTTGATGCTGTTTCTTTCAAGATTATTAATAATATCCAAACTGCATTTTTAGTCTTCATTTCCTCTGGTTTTCACTTAAACAATACAATCATTCTTTATCAGTTGCCTTTTTGTATACCTTGTCCTAGACCCAATCACTAAAATTTGGATACCCCAAAACCCTGAACTAGGCCTATAACAATCTTCACCATTAAAAATTCATCTATTACCCTAATTTAAGTAAACATTCCTGACTGATGGACTCCAAATTATCCCCAGTGGTTTATTCTGATGCCCAAGCTTGCAGAACTCTTAGAGATTTGGTTCCCAGGGAAGCAGGCGCTGAGATAAAAATTAACAGCCAGGAGGATATTTAGGGAGTACTCTTGGGATCTGTACCTGTGGGAAAGAAAGGAAAGAAGCAGAGGAGAAGAAGCCAAGCTGCAAGGTATTTTCAGCATGAGGCCCCAGATACTCCTGTGGAGAACTTGGAAGCTGGGATAAACCTTTAGAGTTTTCCTGAGTTCAGGTGAGGCAACTTTAGAGCTTTTCTTTAGAACTCCAGTGGACTGGCCATTAATGCAGGCCACTCTGAGAAGGAGCGATCACCTTCAGAAAGCTTCCTTCAGCTGACACAATCCCTTTAGGGAAATGGTAAGAAAATTCCTGGATGCTGGAAAAATAAGTCTTTCATTCTGAAGGGAATCCGGGTGGTCCATCATAGCATCGACCACAAGAACCAGCTGCTTATTTAATATTTTCACTTGGCTAGCTTACAAATACCTCCAAAATACATTTCCAAACTAAACTCCACTAGTCTCCACTTCACATTGCTTCTCCTTGCCATTTTTCCTACCACACACAGGTGACTACCCGTCTACTTAGTCAAGCTAAAACCTGGAGGTCCTCCTGAACTCTTTTCTCTCCCTTACTTGCATGTCACAGCTAATCATTTACCATCATGAAGTTTGTACATCCTGAATATCTCTTGTTTTAGCCTAGTTTGCACCATCCCTGCTGCTGCCCCCAGTGTAAATGACTATCATATCTTGCCTGGATGACTGCATTATTTTTCTAAGTGGTTTCCCTACGTCCACTCCTTTTCCCCCTTTAGACCAGTCTCTCCATCCTATAGTCAGTTGTGTCTTAGTTTTGTTTGCTTTTGAAAGAAGATCTCCCTCTGTCGCCAAGGCTATAGAATGCAGTGGCATCAACAGCTCATAGCAACTTCAAACTCCTGGACTCAAGCGATCGTCCTGCCTCAGCCTCCCAAGCAGCTGGGACTACAGGGATGTAGCACAATGCCCAGGCTATTTTCTTTTTTTCTATTTTTAGTAGACAGAAGGTCTTGCTTTTGTTCAGGCTGGTCTCAAACTCCTGGCCTCAAGTGATCCTCTCACCTCCCAAAGTTTAGGATTACAGGCATAAGCCACTGAAACATATCCTAGTAGTGTGTTTTGAAAATTCAGTTACAAGCACCTCATTCCATTCATTGACTTCCAAATAGCTTCAATTCCAACTACAAGGCCTTTACCTGAAAGGCCTTGGAGGCAAGCTCTTTAGGTTTCATTTAACTTCTCTCTCTCTTTTACTCCTTTCTACTCAATATGTACTGGACTTTCATTAGCTTCCTGGAGACATGGTGTTCTTTGCTATTTTCCACATGTTCTTTCTTTACTGAATTCTTTTCTCCTGTCCAGTCTCAGCCCATACATCCCTTTCTCACCAAAGACTTTCTTGAACATCCAGGACGAGGCTGCCTCATCTTGTGTTTTCTGACAAGAATCGTGTGTCTCCTGGCCTGCCTCATCTCGTAAGGACAGGCTTCTATCTTTCTTTCCCACAAGAGCACAGCACCATAGGAGCAGAGACAGCATGCACTTTCGTCGATGCCTTACCTTCCTGTGCGGAGCATGATGCCTAGCGTGTGTATGAGCTACAGATACGGTAGTGAATGTGCTGTTCCCACTACTTGCAAGGTCTTTTCTAGTCTTATTTTTCAGACTTACTTTACTTTTTTCCCAGAAAGCTGTTATCCTACCCACAACCAAAAAGTTTGAATACCACCTCTTAGGTGCTGCCACTTCACCTTGAACAGCCTCACCTTGTTGGACTTCTCATATTTTTCTATTTTTAGCTTTTGGAGTTTCTGTGGTGCTTTGGTATTGACATGAACATTGAATGAAAAGCAACAAAAACTTTAATATTAATGAAGGTAATAATGAACGTGAATGTAAAATTTTTCTACATACAGACAATGATTATAGTCCATTTAATGAGCATTAGGAAATGGAAATATTTTAAGGGATGAATTGATTTTTACCAGATAAAAGACGTAGAATAGAGATTAGGTTATAAGCTAAGTAATACAAACTGAAAATCGAGCTACATTTTTGACTTTTCTTTATAAATAAAGAAAATGTTCTGCACAAACAATTTAGATTCATATTTTTAAGCATACTTAGCATATTTCTTTCAAAAATTATGTTTATAAAGGATTTTATGATGTGCTGCAATACCAACCCTCTTTCAGCCATTTATTTCTATGTCCTTAAGGGTTCTTAATAAGACAGAATCCTTGATGGGAAAGAAAGAGAGAGAGATTTTTGAAATAAGCGTCAATTCTGGTTAAATATTTATTATAATCATAGCCCTTTAATATTTCACACAATAAGTCATTGTTTTAATTAAGTGATAATAAGAGCAAGTAACTCTATTTGGTAAATAATACCACAAGTTTCCTTCTAAAGATTCAACATCATTTACCACACTAACTCACCACTTATAACATTTTTTCTAAGTTATTTACTCCTTCTCTCTTGAAATAAAAATCCATGCCATAATAAAATACTTAAATTGCACAGAAACAGTTTTCCACCCTGATTTTATCACAGTTAAAAATAAAAATGATTTTTCACTGGTGAGTCTTATAAATTTTTTCTGCAGTATTCAAAATATCTAAAAAGTGGGACTTATATAGCTAGTATAATTTATTGTTTTCCACAACTAGTACTTTTTCATTAGATATTATTTTGATATTCTTGGTTGAACACAAAATATAATTCCATTTTATATTATTTCTTTAAAAGTGTCAAAATTCTGATCCTATAAAATGGTTTATATCATTTAATTTTACTTTTAGTATTTTTCCAAGGAAAGAAAAATATTATTTTCCATAGGTACTAGGAAATATATTTTTTTAATTGTTTCATGAAGAAACACTTTAGTAAATGATTACAAATAGTTACATGCAAATGTAGTCCTGAAAATAAATACAATACTATAATTTCAATAATTGTTAATAGGATTGTCAAGTAGACTGGTTCATACAACTGTGCTTCTCAACCTTTATGAGTTATGTATGAACTTATATTGAGAAATACGAGAAAATGTGATTGGTTTTTTTATCTCTGAATATACAGGTTAAATTTTGCACATTTAAATATTTCCCCTATAAATTGATTTATTTTTCCAATTGCCACAAATATCAATATCAAATGGTAAATATTGCTTTGAATGCAGACAGTCTGGAAAATGTGTTGAATTAATTAATACTTCCAGGAGTTTGCTTGTTTTAAAACAAAAAAATGAAAGAAATATTATTCTTTTTCCTTTCCAGTGACCATAAAGCATGAGTATTATAGATCATTACATGTCTGAAACTTATAACATAATGACTCTCTTGAATAACAATCTGACAAAAAGAAGTATTTGTCGATGAAAGCCTCTTCTTACCTTTCTCTTGGAATACATCTTGGATATTTTAACTGCCCTTGGTTACACTGCACTCTAAGTTCAGATCCAATAATAGAAGACTCAGCTGTATATGTATTTCCCCTACAACGAAACTCAATATATTCACCATGGAAAATGTGTGGTCTATTGTCAAAATTCCATTTCAGGAGTAAATTATTGTTTTCCATTTCAATGAAAGATAACGTGCAAGGCTCTAGAGGGGAAAAGAAGGAAAATATCTTGATATATTTTGGTTCTAATAGGACTCATTGTGTTACCTACTCATGATGACTTTAGAATTCCCAGGCACGTGAATGGCAAGCAAGTTAGTTAAAATTAATATTTGCATCAGAGTATATATTCAAAACTCACAGGAAAGAGCGCACCATTCATCCCTGTGGTCCTAGATTTAGAGAAAGGATATGTCCTGCCAATCATTTAGTTTCATGCCATTAAGTTTTTCAAAGATAACAAACAAAAAGTCAAGGTGTTTTTCAGGTGTGTTGACAGTTACTGATAGTCATTGAAACAATGATCTTTCCCCCTTTTCTTCTTTATAAAGTTTAAATGAAATATTCAAAACACAAATCCTTAATTGCTAGATAATGTTTTATGTAAATATGGACACAAGATAGATCATCAACATTGACTGAAACTTTATAAACTGATGCCATACAAAATGGTAGACAGTTTCCTATCTTTTAATTTCTAATTAAGGAATATCGAGATTGTTTTAAATTCTAAACATATAACGTGTCATTGTGTCCTTTTCCATATGTATTAAAACAAAACAAAACAAAAACTTAAAATATGTATTAGGATACCCAACAAATCTCTTTAATTTTTTCCCATGATAAAACCATTGATATTTTCAAATTGTTAAATATTATTTTAGAAAAATAGGATTTTTGTGTGTTCTTATTTGCCTCCTGGATAACATAGCATTAAGGAGTCACTTTGGGAACACGTAAAAAGGACCAGAATTTCAAATATAGAAAATCAATCATACACCTGTAATACATTAACAAGCTTGTTTATAGTAGCTTGCTCTTATCCATGAAGGTGATAGTCCAGGATCCCCAGTGTTTGCGTAAAACCACAGATAGTACCAAACTCTAATGCCATCCATCAAAACACGGTCCTGTTCATGTCTTCTGCCTTCAACTTTAATGCCATTTCCATCTTAAATAAGCATTTTCATGCACTGTACCCAAATATATCAATAATTATATTAGTATATAATGGATAAATTCCAAGAAACTACTCCCTAAGTCCCTACCAAACCTAGTAACCTTCAAATGAATTAAAAATGCCAATTTGTCTTTCAACAAAGATAATTCAAGATTAAGATGCTTCTCTAGTGACCTCTAAAAATTATCAAGGAAGAGAGGGCACCAACCATACACAAATTTAAATTTCAGAGAAGCAAAAAAAGACTACACATAGTTCCCAATTAGCAGGAGAAACTTTATGCTAAACCTGAAAAGAAAATAAAAAACCAAATGTTGTCAGGAAAATAGATGCAAAACTACTAAATAAAATATTAGCAAATAAAATCCAACAGTATATAGTAAGCATAATTCATCACAATCATGTGGGAATTCTATGGAAATATAATCATGCTTTAACATTCAGAAAGAAGCTATATAGTTTACTAAATGTGCAGGGGGAAAAAATCAAAGTTATTACCTTATAATCATTTCAGCAGATAATTGCTAAAATCATATGCCTACTGAAGATTCTTAAAAAAATACTCTGAGAAAAATAGAAAGTTTCTACATCTTGAACTTAATTTTTTAAAAATCACTATCACTGCCCTTAGAGGTAAATTATTGAGAGTTTCTTTGTGATATTGGGAAACAAAGATGTCCACTACCTCTTCTATTCAACATTGTCCTAGCCAGTTAAGTAAGATAAGAAAACAGTCAGAATTGGAAACAAAAAAAATACTTTCTTATTATTAATAGATATGCTATTTTATGCTTCTGGGGCCCTGGAAAATGTTGCTTCTATCATGAAACCTTACCCATGAAGTATTAACTTACTTCCATCGTTCCATATTGAGGTGGCCGATTCTCCCTTTATTCCCCCATTGTACTCCTGTTTTCTATGGTAGTACACTGAATATGTACCATTGTTAACATGTTTGCCCACACCACTACTGTTTATTTATCTTAAAGATCCATACCAAGCTAGTACCTAGAATAGGATTTTTACTTAATAAATACTTATTACAGAAAACTGAACTATAGTTATTTATGATCTAAAAGAAAGAATAGAAACCAGTGGTTAAATAGGCACACAATAAAATGATACAAAATGCAGTAAATTAACCATGACATCAGTGTTAACTCAAAATAACAGACGTTAAACATACACAGTTTGACTTTGTTAAATAGAAGGATAGTTAATAGTATATACCTAAACACAAAGGCGGTGTAGTCCACACTCCCTCTAAACAATAGGCCTCCCTGGACCCTTGCAGGAAATGGTGATCAAAACATCTGTATTCTATTGATGAGCCATTTTCATAGGTCTCTACGGGTGAACTAATAATGACTCCATTTTTAATAAGTGGAGGAGATGCACACCTTCCTTTAGTTTCTGCAAAAATAAGTTTTACAATGAATTTTACAGTGAGTGTTAGTGCTTTTAAATAAAATGAGATGTTTTATGCAAAGCCATTTTGGGGCAGTTCTCGAATTTTTTAAAAATATTAAGAACATTTTTTCAATAGTATCATACCTTAAAATCTATTGTTACAATCAGAATATTGTATTATAATATTCAAATACTTATTTAAAACTATCAAAGTATTAAAAATTATGTTTTTATTTTTCCCTTTTTATCTAGCTGAAAGTGAAAGTTTATGAGATTTCTTTTGAGGCCATGCTTTCTGTATTTTTTTCTTATTAAAGTAATAATTTCTTTTTATTTTTTATTTTTTTAGAGACAGAGTCTCACTGTGTCGCCCTCAGTAGAGTGCTGTGTCTCATAGCAACCTCCAGCTCTTGGGCTTAGCTGATTCTCTTGCCTCAGCCTCCCGAGTAGTTGGGATGACAGGCACCCACCACAACACCCGGCTATTTTTTTTGTTGCAGTTTGGCCGGGGCCGGGTTCGAACTCACCACCCTTGGTATATGGGGCCTGAGCCCTAATCACTGGAGCCACAGGTGCCACCCAAGGTAATAACTTCTAAATCCAGGGAGTACATGAATTCTCTCACACTATGCATCAATCCCTTTCCTGAGACTGTGGTCTCCAGCAATCTCTAAGTCTAGTGCTCACTTGAGTTTCATCAATTCTCTGATGGTCTGGGGGCATTTATAAAACCTCTTGATTTTTTCCCTTCAAAAAATTAGCTTACTGGAATTAAAAGATCTCAGCATAGTCATTCTACCTAGGTACAAAAACTTTCAGCCTGCGGTGGATATTGAGCAAGTAAAAACTTATCAGAAAGCACTACTGTTTTACCTTTTCTAACACATAAAGGATATTTCACTTCTCCTCTATTGCACTGGACAGATAACTCAGACAATGGGGTTGATGGAGATAAGGCATATCCCTGTTTACAAGCAAAATCTATTAAATCTCCATGTAAGACTTTTCCTTCAAATTTCCACTTCATCTCTATGTTATTTCTGTTCATGTAATCCACATTAACAGTACATGGCTCTGAAAAACAAAAAATGCTTTTTAAAATTCCTTACTCATCTGAAAAATATAAAACTGACATGTTTTTTAAGTCAAAAAATCATGACAGGCCTTGAAAGCAATTTTTTATATTGGACATTTATCATTATTAAAGCTCTTCACATATATAAGAAAATATATACTTCATCACTATCAAATAAATGTATACATTTCTTATTGTCTTTGGTATTTCATAAATTAAAACCACTTAGTTTGAAACATTAAATATATTGTTTAAGGTCTTATTCAGTAAGAGGAATGATTTTCTTCCTATAAAATAAAAACTTTGAATTAGAAAACATTTATTGTGCATAGAAAACTTGTCACTTGATATCAAATAATAAACAAAGATTCTCATCCTTCTGAAGCTTACCTTCTAACTAGGAGAAAACCCACAGTAAGTAATAAATATAATAAATATACGTGAACTTATAATTAGTGAGCCTCTATAAATACAAGCATATGATAAGTTAAATGATAAAAAATACAGTGGAAGGGAGTGGCTATCAAAAGACCTGGGGGAAGGGAGGTCACACTTTCAAGGTGATTGGAGTAGGCCTAAATAAGAAAAGCTATTTGCACAAAACTTGAAGAAAGTTGAAAATTGAGCCATGTCATTTTCTGATGGACAAGTGTTCCAGGCAAAGGGAACAACCAGCACCAAGGCCCGAGATAAGCACAAGCTTTGCCTGTTAAGGAACAAGAGGAGACCAGAGAGGCGAGAATAGAGTGAGGGCAGGGAAGATGAGTAGGGGGAGGTCAGAGAGGTTGGTAATGTCCGGGATGATAATTCACAGAAAATTCAATTCCGTATCACACTGCTGCCCAAATTCATAGTAATAATTCTTTGAAGTTCAGTGGATAAGCAAGACTCACAGGGCTCTTTCTTCTTGCCCTGGTAACAATGATTGATCTTCATTCAGTATTTGCTTTGATTCCTTAGCACTAGGGCTGTCTTGAGACTATTGTTTAAGAACAAAATATTTTTAAACCTTATGAAGTTATTTCATTATTAGTTTTTCCATTACTATTTAAATCCAGTCTCTATCTTCAGCAATGACTATATTTCCGTTCAATGCAATATCAAAACTTCACATCAATATCACATCATCAAAAACTTAATATCAAAAACATCTATAAAAATATGAGGGCAATGCAAAATTTAAAGGTGTAGATGTATCCAAATTTAAATGCTAATAATATTCACGTTGTGGCAGAAACTATAAATTGAAGATTGGAACAGCTTAAGATTTAAAACATATATATTTTGAAACATTATGAATAAAAAGAAAAAATAAAAGAAAGTTACAATATACATGATTCTCAAGCATATAAATTATATAAATATAGATCTCATGAGTATAAAAAATGATTAAACTATGAACAATTAATTTGTGAATTAATTTGCAAACAAACTGCCACTAGAAAATTAAAAATCCACAATTGACTAATACTTAAATAAATCAAATAAATGCTTACACGATAAATAAAAAAATGCCACGATTTAAGATAATAAAGTTGTCAAAGATTGAGACAACTAATACTTTACTTATTGTAGAGGATTATAAGTCAGAATAACGCTTTTGACAGAAAATTTTATGACCAATAGAAAAAAATTAAAATTCTCATTTTGATGACTGAAAGGTCAAATATCTGAAAAGCATGAAAAACAAATAAACATGGAAAAAACAAATATAATTAATTTTTAAGACAAGTAAAGATTTAAAATTTATAAATATTTAGTTACAAAATGTACTGATTAGAATATAAAACATTGAACACTAAACATCCATCAATGAAGTGATTAGTTAAATTAATTATAGTGTATCTGTATTATTGAGTACTATGCAGTCCTTAAAATATATTGTAGAAGCATGACAAATCATGTTTGAATATGTTTTATGCAGCAAAAAGCCAAGATATATAACCTCTGCATGGTATGATAGCTTTTTGTGGAGACTGTGTGTGTATGTGTGTGCAGAAAAAGTTTAGAAGATCATTTATTAACTAACTCATTAGCAAACATTTTTATATAATCTATAAGATATCAAAGATGTTTATTTGGGGAGGATGTGGTGGCAAATAAGATGTTAGCAACGGGCTTTACCAAGGAAAGCATCGGATTGATTATTCCTTTCTCTAAATGACACTCTGAGGGTGGTACAACTCTGAGGATGTGATATTTAATACAACAAAGTGAATATACACAATGCCACTGAATTGTACAATTAAAAAAGTTAAAATGTTAAATTTTATGTTATGTGTATTTTGCCACATATAAAAAAAGTAATGAGGCACTAAAGCAATACTAGACTCTAATACGTTAGGGATTTTCTACTTTAAAAAGATGAGAGTAGATAACACATGGGGAAAAAAGATTTATAAAAATTCATTTCCACACTATAAAACATTATTTTAAAAATCACATAAAAATGAAAAAGAAATCCAGTGTGCTTTCTTTCTTACCCAAGCAAACAGGTGGTGGGGATGACCATTTCCCTTGTTCACAGTGAGATGTTTTTGACCCTCTCAATAAGTAATACTCATTGCATCTGTACTCCACGGAGGACCCTGTTGTATAGCTTGCCAACAACCCATCCACCACAGCTCCATTTATGACGTCAGACGGAGGCTTACAGTTCTCATTATTCTCTAAGCAAAGAGGTTATTTTTAAATTAACACGAGCTCATAACAATGTGATAGAACATAGTTGTATACACTGTGGCATCTCAATATTTATACTAAATAATTTAGGACAAATAATTTCTGAAATCACCAGAAATGAGAGAAATATTATTCAGCTCAAGTATTTAAAAAATCTGCTAAGGAAAAATAAACAGGAAATGTTTTCCCAAAGAACAAGTTACGTTTAAATTTTCTCATGTCTTGACTGTGAAGGAATTATGATACAAATATTCTTAAAATCTATAGAAAAAGAAACTATGTTATTCAACCTAAAGATTATGTTCAATTCTAAAATTACCCGATGGCATTATCCACTTTTATTTTCTTCCTTCCCTTTCCTCTTCATCTCAGGGCTCCATAAATCTATGAATGAAATACCCATTTTTTTCTCTCTAAAATCTCTCTCTTACTCTTCTACTTTAGGTATAACTTTTATGTAATAAATATTCTGGATAAACACATTTGTGGAAATCTCTCTAGGACCTGACGAAATGAGGATGGTAGGAAGGGTAGCACACAGGAGGAATAGTGTAGCCTCGTGGTTTTCTTCAGTCGAATGAAAGACCAGGACATGTCTCAGAAGGGTGTAAGGTTTAGAACGGGCAGACTCCAAAGTGTCAGCAGGTCTTATCCAAGGTCAGGGACAGAATGCTCTCTCCTAACTTAGTATGACATAGTGAGAAGAAGTAGATGGTGTTCCTGGCCAGTCACTCAATCCAACACACTTTTATTTACTTCTCTAATGAAGCATATCTTTACTTATGTGCTGTTATTTAAAGCTCACAGGTCACGATATCCCTCAGAATAGATAATAATGTCTAACACTAATGCATTCGAAAAAGTTTTTGTAATTTCCATATTCTTTTCATTAGCTTAAATTCTACAGATGGCTCCATACACACACAAAAAAGCAGACACAGTGCAGTAGCACTGTGTTTGTAACTCCTCTAAGCTGATGTCTCTTACAATGAGTATTTGGATAAATAAACAGAATGAAAACTTTTACATCATAGGCTTAGCCATTGATGGTAAATGTAGCACACACACCAACACACTCAGGGGGGAGTGTCCACTTTCCACCACGACAAGTTATCTCATTTGATCCACGGAGATGATAGCCACTTTCACATCCATATGTCACTCTGTCCCCGTTGTAATAAACCTCTGAGTGCAGGTTTGCTGCACCATTCTCAATGGAGGGTGGATTCTCACAGGCTATCTTTTCCTTTCCTTCTGAAAAGGTATAAAGAAAAAAGACCATTTAGCTGCCATGTGCAGATTTCACTGCAGGAAAATTGTATTCAAGGCGTGGCTAACCGATGCATTTTGGAGGGTCTGTCCATTTTCCATTTTCACACCGTATTTCCTCAGACCCCTGGATCTCAAAATTAAGTTCACATTCTATGTGAACTATTTCTCCATGACGGTAAGTTGTTGCGTATGTTTGTACTTTGGAGTTTAGAGGCAGAGGTGGAGGAGGACATCGATTTCTTCTTCCTTACAGAAAAATAACAACATATTTGGTCATAAGAATATAAAAAATAACAAAAATTAAATAAGAATGTCTGTTGTACCAAGCACCATAGAAGTTATGGCAGAGATTCTAGAAGCACTGCTTTGGTCCCCACCTCCTGATGGTCACCTCCCTCTAGGATCCCCTGTGTATGAGTGGGAGCCTCTAGACAACAGAACACAGCAAAGACAATGGATCAGCATGTGATTATGCACCCATGTTTATGTCACATGACACTGGGACACCATTCTCCCTGACAGACTTTCTCTCCATGATGGTGTTGAGAAAGCAACCTGCCAGATTGTGAGCTTCCAAATGGGGAGGGCTGCAGGCAAGGGGCAGAGGGCCTCCGTTAGCCAACAGTCTGCAAGAAACTCAAGCTCTTGGTCTATCCAGCCTGCAAGCAGTGAATGCTGCCTATAAGCCCAGTGATTCTGACACTTTGGTGGCAGCTTCGTTAGACATTGTCACAGAGGAGTCCGTTATGCTATGCCTAGACTCCTCACCTACAATAGCTGTAAAATAATACATTTGGGTTGTTTTAAGCCACTGAGTCTGTAGGAACATTGTTATGAACCAATAGAAACAAAATCAGTATTTTACATTCATTATCTCCGTAGTCATTTAGTCCTGAAATAATTTTGCTAAGTAGGAATTATTATTTCTCTCATATTATAAATAGGGAAACTAAAATTCAGTAAATCAGCAGCAGCTGACAAATCTGGTCTTGAATCCATATCTATCTGAATTAAAGTCTTTTGTTTTAAAATCCTGGCTGTCCTAGTTTTCTATTGCTGCTTTGACAGACTTTCCCAATTTAATGGCTTAAAACAACATACATTGATTCTCTTCTCAAGTGCAAAATCAGTCTCACTGAGCTAAAATGCAGGTGTCAGGGCAGGTGCATTCTTTCTGGAGGCTTTGGAAGAGAACAGCTACTTTGCCTTTTCCGTCTTCTGGAAGCTGCCTGCATTCCTTGGCTCATGGCCCCTTCCTCATATCCCTTCAATCCATTGCTTTCATTGTCACATCTCCTACTTTCTCTATTGTAGTCAAATCTCTCTGGCTTCCTTTTATAAGAACTTTTGTGATCACATTTAGAATCCAAACGGATAACCCGGGATAATACTCCTATCTCCTAAGTTTTAACTGTAAAGTTCCTTTTGCCATGTGAAGTAACATTTCCTGATTCTGGGGATTAGGAGGTGGATGTCTTTTTGGAGAAGAAGAGGAATCATCATGCAGCTGACTGAACTGCTTATCATACATATAATGACCACTTACCAGAAAAAACAACAGGTATGTTTGTATGTAGATCAATGTGGAGGAAAGAGGAAATGTGTTATAGGGGCTAAACAGAGGCTAAATAGGTCTACCATTTACTTTTGAAATAATATGTTACAGAAAATTTGGTAGCAATCTTCCTCTCTACTGTCATACCAAGGCTGTTGAGAACAACTGGAAAATCACATAGCCCTTAGAATTATTGTTCAGTGCATTTAGAGGATTATGATAGTTCCAGGCAATCCTTGGCACACCCCGACCAGCTCCTTCGTTCACTCCTTCTAGCACCTGTTTCAAATCTTCACTGCTCTCTTCCGAGTTCTACTTTCCTGTCTTTCGCCTGCCTGTCAATGTTGACATTAAATCCTACGTTACACAAAATAGTGCTTAACCAGCAATTTTCCTCTCTCCATGTCTACTCAACCCCAAACTCTTATTTATCTTTTAAGATCTAGTTCAAATACTAATACAGATTATAAAATAATAAATTTAAAAGCTATATTCTCTCTAAAAACTAATATAAAACAATATTTCTTCAGATGGAATATACTAAATATTGCTAAAAATAGCACTGATTTAAAAAGCATTATTTTAAAAATAGTACTCAGTATAAAAATAAGATATTATCACAGACATTTTCTCTAGAGCTTATGAGTTAACAAAGACACGATATTTTTGAGTGTGAAATTTAAGCATTTACCTTCACATACAGGAGATTTGGGGTACCAACCAAAATTATAACATTGAATTAAATCAGATCCGCTTAGATAATAATTTTCATGACAGAAAAACTGAACTACATCTCCTTCTTCATAGGTTTGTTTTACAGGATGAAAATAACCATTTTCTATTAATCTTAAAGACGAGCACTTTAATTCTAAAAATGAAAGAATAAATAAAAATGTAAAGACAATAATTTTTTCTGCTAGAACAAAATTCACTTACTGTTAAAGTGCCATACCTAGAGTAGAAATTAATAAATTTGCCACATTCTTTTTTAAATAATAAAAGCTAATGAATTTCATTGCATATATTAAATATCATTAGGCTTATTCTAATTTAATTCTGCTGTGAGCTAACATGAATTTTTCCAACTGTAGAGATGTAAATGATCAAAGGCTATTGTCAACATAATTTAAATCAACAGTAAAAATTAAACAATGAAAAATAGAACACAATTAGATGATAACGTCTATACACTTCTATGTGAGAAAGATTTCAGAGTAAAAGTGGGATTTAGTAAACATGAGAACCTACTGGTACACTTGGGTGTGAGAGACCACCCATATGTGGTACATTCCGCCTCCTCCATCTTCTTTCCTCCAGCTGTGTGGAAGCCAGGAGCACATTCGTATTGTACTTTGTCCTTCACTTGGAATATTTTCTGTGTTGTAGAATAATTTCCATTATATAATTCAGGAGCCAAACATGTTTCTAAAAAAAATTAAAGTATTTATGCTATGAACTCATAAAATTGTTAATAACCTAGAATGCTAAAAAGAAATCTCAAAATGTATTTTCACTCAATCTTAAAAATATATGGCAGAATGAATACTTGGCAAAATTGAAAAAGAGGTATTTTGTAACCTAACTTTGCCAGACTTCTATTCTTAGAATTCCAGTCTACAGCACGTCACCCAAGGCCACCATGCAACTGAGGACTTGGCCAGTAGCAATGTTTTGAATATGTGTCATTTTTGGAGCTGTACAATTTAAACAGCTTGAAACATACTAACAAAGTACATATATCCATACTATCGAATTTTTTTTAAGTATACCTGACACTGGGTCACAGTATAAATAATGTGCATGAGCTTGATGATCTTGAATTCTTTGGTAATAAAGGAAATAGTGATTTATAAAAGTTGTAAGAGAAAGGTTTATTAAAGTGTTTTCATTTTATTACATTTCAATTCCTTTTTATTAGTACGAAGTAAAAACTACTAATGGTAGGTGTGTTATAGGAATTGAGAGCCCTTGGGTAAAGGAAACATTTAGCATTTGAGAAAAGCAGTACAATATAAATTTCCTGCTTTTGAAGACATCATGAAAAATAAATTATGTTAAATAAAAATACATATTAATATAAGAAAGTACTGGGATCAGAAGCTTCTGTCTTCAGTTTTAGAAAATGATTCTTATACCATGTTCCTTCATACAGGCTGGTGGAGAAGACCACCCGTCAGAGAGACATTGAATCTCTTCTTCATTCTTCCCTCCAGTGGTTTTGTATCCTGAAGCACAACCATAACGCAACTTCTCTTGAATTTTGTACAGCAGTTTTGCATCAGAAATGTAGCCATGTCTCAGGTCAGGCTTTGTGCATTTTTCTAGGGTAAAAAGATATTTATTTGTTTGCCTTGGTGATAAAAATAAGTTTGTCTTTTATTACATTGTAAAATTAAGGTAGAAGTATAATGTTCTTAGCTGGAATATGAAGGAGAGAGAGAGAGAAATAATTTTCACTCCACAGTTTCTTGATTTAATTTAATTTTGGATACATCTGCATGAATTTTTTAAAAAATGGTTTTGATATTGCCTTTCTTTGTATTTACTAATTTTAACCTTTATTGTTGTTTCTCTTCCTCCTCATCTACTTTCAGACATGTTTGCTGAATATTTCACCCACAGGAACCACCAAACCCAATTTCTAAATAAAACTGACTTAGCAGAAGCCCCTCACCGGGGAACACAGAGCTTAGGATATTCTTAGCTCAAGAAAGGTCCCCTGACCCAGTGGAAGCCAATGGATAGCTGTACTATAGCATGGCCTGACATAAAATAATAAGAGAAGCCAATTAGATTACCATCTCACAAGTTAGAACTCAAAATGCAGATAAACACGTTTTTTGATGGGTAGCATAAAAGAAGTTGTCACAGAAAGGAGAGATGAGTCTAGCAATGACAGAGCCTGGAGCAGACTTGGCTTTTCTAAGTTAGGCCAATCTCTCCTGGCTTCCTATGCATAATTATCCATCTAAGTTCCTCATTATCTCAAGTAAATAACTTACATCTATTTCCCTTGCAATGTAATAAATAACAATTTCAGTTATTGCCCTGTTCCTTTCACTGGGTATTATTATAAGCGAATGTCAAAGCATTATTCAGAATTTCAAAATACACTTTCATTTTGTAAAAAGACAGTTGACTGATAGTTTTGTACTTAAAGTTTAACCATGTTTCACACTTTATTGAACTCTTATTTTCATGAACTCATTTATCTGAGTCCTGTAACCACTGTCTGACGCATTCGGCTGACTTACTGAAGCACCTTGGCTCTGGAGACCAGCCTTCTCGCGTACACGTAGTCCGCTCTTCCTGCTTCCCAGTTTTAGTTGTATAACCAGCCAAGCAGAAAAACGACAATTTTTTGTCTATGCTCATGGGAAAGTAAAAACTTTTGAAAGTGTAGTAATATTGAGCAATCCTTCCATTTTCCACAGGAGGAAAATCACAGGGTTTCTCTGAAATGAGTAAATGTCAAGCTGAAAATGGAAAAACACATGTAAAAGCATAACATTTGTGATCAAGTGACAATACAACTTTACATTAAAAGTTTTTGCAGACACATCAACTAGTACTCATTTTTTTGTTTGTTTGTTTGTTTTCTGTTTTGGCTGGGGCTGGGCTTGAACACACCACTCTTAGCACCCTACTCCTTGAGCCACAGGCACCACCCACTAGTACTCATTTTTAGTACTTAAATGTATAAGGTGCTTTGGGGAGACTGCAAGCACTCCTGTTCTTTTTCAATCATAAAATGAATCTGTACGAGCAGTAGTCAGAATAAAACTGAACAGGTTACTTCCTCAGGAAAGCTTTCCCAAAATGTCTAAGAATGGCATTTTCTAATAGACATGTAATGCAAATCTATGTATAATTTTAAATTTTCTAATAGTCACACTAAAAAAAGTAAAAGGAGCAGTTGAACTTAATTTTCAAAATAGGGTTTGTTTGACTCACTACATTAAAAATATTTTACTTTCTTTTTTTTTTTCAACTCTCAGAATACTACATGTGAGAGCATAATGTGATACAATTTATGTGAGAAAACACTTTTGCAAAACTTATAAAGGCAAAACATGTCCATACCATATTACCCAATAAAAATACATACATTTGTGTACCCAAAGACAAGGAAAAGTATAATCATAGCAGCACTATTTTTATAATCCCAAATTAGAACCAATGTAAATATCCATTTATAGGAGAAAAGAAAAAAGCATTTTAGACTATGCATACAATGGAATATTATACATCAAAGTGAATGGTGAATCTTGCAGACATCAATTTGAGTGAAAGAAAACATTTACACATGAGTTGTGGTTTATATTCACATATCTTTAAGAGAGGACAAACTAATCCATAGTAATAGAATTCAGAAAGGTCACTTTCAGGGTTTTGTGGCTTATGGGGATCATTTAGGAAGTTTGTGAGGTACTGTTAATATTCTATGTCTTGATTTCAGTGGTATAAACTTTTGTAAAAATGTATATAAGATTATCTTACAGTTTTTACATTTTCTGTATATATTATACTCCAAATAAAACATTTATTTAAAAAAATCTACTTTTATGTTGAAGATCCTAAAATCTCAAAAATGCTTAAAAATAAGAAAATCTCAGAATTATACTGGAAAGGACAGTAATTGTGGGTGGAAGAAGGCCTGGAGCCAGTGGGGTTACACTAGTTTCAATGCCTTGGTTGATCACTGCTTATTGTAAGCCTTTTGATAGTGCTACCATGAAACATAAAATAATAGTAGTGCCAGTGCAGGTCTGAGTGGACAGTGAATAATGAATAACAAAATTTCCAGCAGCGAATAGAGTAGAGAAGTAGATAAAATATCCTGTGCAGGATAGTTCCCATTCTTTTCACCATTTTCCCTATCAAAGCACCAGGAATTGATAATGAAAAACAATAGCAGTATAGTTGGTGAATGCACAGGAGTTTCCTTGAGGAATACAGTTGCTTGTCAGGGAGGGGCAGAAAATTTGTGGGCAACCCTAGGTTGTGGCTTCAAAGATTCCCTGTCCTGAGGCATGTCCCTCCATCACCAGGAGAGGCACATTACTTGCTCAGGTAGCTAGAATGCCTTGGAGAATGTGAATTCATGAGAAAAATTTGATGAGAAGTGTGAGGACCTCAACCACAATGAAAAAGAAAATCAACAAACTGGATAATCAATACCAGAAGGAGCAAAATTAATGGAACAGAGTGATCAAGAACTTAAAATTTGCATTATGAATACCTTTACATAGATAAAGAAAGTTACTGACAATAGAAATCAAGAATAAATGGCTATAAAGAAGAAACAGAAGGGGGCAGCACCTGTGGCTCCAAGGAGTAGGGACCTGAAACCCATATGCCAGAGGTGGCGGGTTCAAACCCAGCCCCAGCCAAAAACTGCAAAAAAAAAAAAAAGAAGAAGAAGAAGAAACAGAAGAGAAGTAGAAATACTGAGAATAAAAATATAACACTTGATACAAATAACCCTTTAAGTGTAGAAAATAGCAGAATGAGTGTAACTGAAGAGCTAATAGGCACACTAAAATATAAAATATTAAAATTCCTACTGTCTGACTTTAGGGCTCCTATGTCCTACAATTCCAGAGGCCATTCACATTATATTATAATTCAAAGGTATGGGGGGAAAGTAGAAATGATAAGGCAAAATTTGATAAATTGGTTTATATTAAAATCAAGGCTATGGCAAGATACGGTGGCTCACACTTATAATTCTAGCATTTTGGAAAGCCAAGGCAGGGAGAATTGCTCAAGGTCAAGAGTTCAAGACCAGAGTGAATGGAGCAAGAGTGAACATCCCATCTGTACTAAAAACAGAAAACTTAGCCAGACATGGTAGTGTGTGCCTGTAGGCCCAGCTACCTGGGAGGCTGAGGGAGGAGGTTTAGCCCAGGAGGTTGAGGTTGCAGTGATCATGCCACTTCACATTTGCTGGGGAAATAGAATGAGATTCTGTCTCAAAACAGAACAAAACAAAAAACATTTAAGGATATTTTGTTAAAATGTATAATCTACAAGGCATTTCCACAAATCAGCTATAAAAAGGTAAAAGACAAAAGAAAATGCTAATCAGGTACAACTCACAGAACTCTGAACATGTAAAAACATATGAAGAGATGTAGAAACATATTAGGAATAAGAATGGCAGATAAATAAAAATGGCATGTTATTTTGTGAACAACGGTTTGACAAAATAGTACAAAATGGATAATGGGAAGCAACAATTTACAACTTCTCTTGGAGACTACATTCTTTGAAACAGCCATTCTACAAAAGTAATGTCACTACTCACAGAAATCAAGTCTAAGAATTGACCCAACAATCCCAACTCTGAGTGAACGCTGGCTACAGAAATTCTATACAGAGATAAAGTCATTATATTAATTATTCGTTTCAGAGTTATTTTTGTTTAAATGAGAATTAGAGTAACTATATGTCCATCATTGGAAGAGTGGATAAATAAAACATATGGAATGCTACACATCAGTTACAAGCAGAACAGTGTCAGCAACATGAAAATATATTTAAACAGGTTCAAGTACAAAAAACAAAAAGAAGAAAATCTCTGCAGCAAGTTCCCATTTGTGTGAATGTAAAACACATACAGAAAACAAGACGTATTTTACAAAAGTATTTACCTATAAGAACACAGCAAAACATTTTGGTGGGTCCCAGGAGATGTAAGATAAGGGATAGAAAATATATAAGGGATATATATGTAAGATAAGGGATAAGGGGAGAAAATATATAAAGCAAAAGTGAAACCTTTCATAGGACAATAATGATTGTATGTCATGGTATGAGAAGTATGATTATTTCAATTCTTGCCCCTGAGGTTCCCAGTGGGGTTGGGAGAAGCACATGAAAATGAGATCATTATCTCTGTCTTTAAAGGGCTTACACATTTTGTTTGTGTAAATGAGATTATAGCCATACAATAATTACAAAATTAGCTGAACTATGACAATGTCTTCATGGTACAGATAATAGATAATTATACTAGCTGGTATTTCCACATTTAGACATAAAAATAAAATTAAGGAAAACTATATGTGCAAAAATTATCCTATTGTAGAATTCAGAGTATTAAATAAGTTGATTTCTATTCATTTCACTTACATTATTTTAACTGCAGATCTTTTTCTGGTAAAAAAAAAAAAATATGTGTATAAACCATTCAACAAAAAGGAAATTATAACTTGTATATTTTATCTTAACAAGTTCTCTAAACTGTTTATTTCAGAAAAACATTGCTGTGGTTTCCCAATTTGTATATTCACTCTTGCCAATGCTAACTGGCCTCCCTGGATTTTTGACCTAATAGCTTAATAATACTGATAATTGTTCCTAAATAACACACAGTTCTACATTTTCTCACGTTCCCTTTCACACTAATCTTACATAGTAGGCACTCTGGTTATAAAGATATCTAATAGTCAGGGAGTCTATCAGTGTTGGTTTGTCTAGACAGTCCTAATTTACACCTGTTGTGCAAATGTAATTATTAATAAATCCCCCTCTTTTATTCTCAAAAGAGTACATTTTTGTATAGACCTCCTACTAATCACTCTAACCTACTAAAAACTCCAACCAATGAATAATCATTGGGACACAAATCGAAGTATCAAGAGTAGAAAACCTTCCTGAAGATTTATGAATATTTCCTTTTCAAATTTCCCGCAGTAAACTCCCACCTTAAGAAAAGAGAATCTAAATTGTACAAGTTTTGTTAGTGTTAGAAATGAAATTATAATTAAGGTTAACATGTGAATGGCTGTATTGTTAGCCTGAAAACCTTTTTAAAGTATTTAGATCTTAGTTGCCTAGGCCGCAAAACCTAGGGATATAAAGAGTTTTGTCCTGTTTGGTTTTCTAAGTTATGCTACTAAAAGAATAAGTTCCCCATTTTTCTCAAAGGAAAAGGCCTGACTAAATATTATTAAAAGTAATGTTTTTAAAAGTATGTGTTATAAAGTTGATATATCAAAATGAAATAGTATATTAAAACTCTGTATGAATGTATGAATCTCCATTTATATTTTTAGAGAATAAATAATATTAGGAATTAAGTTTACCTTCTGCAAAGAGTTCTTGTGGGATTGTTAGTATGATGATAAAAGCCAGGTTTCCCCACCTCATCTTCAGTGGTGTGCTTCATAAAGATTCTAACAATTCTAAAGCACTAGCTACTCGTCATTAAGTACATAATACTTCTCTTGATGAAAAAGTTAATAATTTACAAGTTCCTTTGTAACAAGTCTTATATTTCACTTAAAATATTTTCAGATAATTTTAAAATAGCACAACTGTGTTAACTGACATTACTTTTAATGTCAGACTCCAATAAGAACAGAACCAATAAGGGCAATAATAGCAGCAGCATAAATAATTAACACAGACTGCTTAAAAAGCAGAGTAAAATTTCAACCTTAATTCCCAATTGTAGGTTCACTGAGTAAAGTTCATTTGGGGCCATTGATCTTCACGAATGCTGATTAAGTGAAGAGATGAACTTAGAAACATGAGATAAAGGATTTCTGTGTTAAAATATGTTATTGCCTAGATTGCACTCCTTGAAGAAAAATGTCTCGAGCAATTAAATTGTCTCAAGCAGTGATACAATAGTCATATTAAAAAGTGTAATGTCTGAGATTTAGAGAGTTTGTACTCCGTGGCAGGTGGGGAAATAAGCACTGTGTTATCATTCATCTGTGAAAAACATTTTAAATGTCCACTATATGGCAGGCTATGTCATAGTCTTGAGGTATTTAGCAATTAAAAAAAAAGGTATTAAGATTTTTGGCCTCATGAAGCTTACATGTAAATGAGTGTTAAAGTACAAAATAATACTGTGAGGGAAGAGCTATTATTGTTCTAATTCTGTAACTTTTTATTAGCATGTAATATATTAACAGAAAAGTAAACATGCTATAAGGATTCTCACAAACTGAGTACATGCATGAATCCAGAACCTAGGAAAGGAAATGGAATAGACCAGGAACCCAAAAATCCCCTTCCAGGTCACTGCCTACACTCACCCCAGTGTTAAACGCTATCTTGACTTCTCACAGTGTAAATCAGTTTGGCTGGTTTTATAGTCCATAGACAGAACCATATCATATGTATTCTTTTATGTCTGGCTCCTTTTTGTTGATGATTTTGCTTCTGAGATTCATCCATATTTTGGTGTGTAATAGATAGGCCTTTGCTATATAGTATTACATTCTGTGAATATGCCACAGGTTATCTGTCTATTCCACTGTTCATGGAAATTTAAGTAATTAAAAATTTAGAAAACTAGCATAGCATTTGCCTATTTTTTGAAGATTTTTTTCTTTGAATATTTTCAAACAAAACCTCTGCCTGGATTTTACTATTAACATTTTGCTGAAGTTTGCTTATTAATTTTTACATGCTACAATTAATTTAAATTTAACATTAGATCTCCAGTTTATTTATTTTGTACAACTGAAACTTTGTACTCTTTAACCAACACCTCTCCATTTTCCCCTCCCCCCACTCACTCCTGGCAACCACATTCTGCTCATTGTCTCTCTGTGTTTGACTATTTAGATTCCACACAAAAGTGAGAGCATAGAGAATTTATATTTCTGTGTCTGGCTGTTTCACTCTTCACAATGTCCTCCAGGGCTGTCCTTGTTGCTGCAAATGGTAAGATTTTCTTATTTTTAAGGTCGTATGTCTATAAAGTTGACCCTTGAACAACGTGAGGGCTGGGGGATCGGGGGTACTGTCCCCTGTGTAGTCAAAACTCCATGTATAACTTTTGACTGCCCCAAAACTTTACTAATAGCCTACTGTTGACTGGAACCCCTACTAATAACATGAACAGTTGGTTTATATTTTGTACAGTGTATGTATTAAATACCATATTCTTATAAAAAGGAAGTTAAAGAAAGAAAACTATTATTAATTAAATCATAAAGGAGAGAAAATATATTTGCTGTTCATAAAGTGGAAATGGATTGTCTTAAAGATTTTCATTCCTCACTGTCTTTACATTGAGTGAGCTGAGGAGGAGGAGGGAAAGGCTTTGCTTTGCTGTCTCAGGATAGCAGAGCGGGAAGGGATAGAGGAGGCAGGAGAGGCGGCACACTCAGTGTAACTTTATGGAAATAACGTTGTAAATTTTCAGCTTTTTAATTTCTCTAAACATGCTTCTATATGGTACCAATCCTTCTTCTACCATTTGCTTTAGTTATAGTGCCCATTTCATAGAGAAGTGCCCGTGTTGTAAGAGAAGTCAAAAGCTGCCTCCAATAATCGAAACCCTTTCCAGCTGCTTCCTCTACCTCTTCTTCCTCCTCATCTGGCCCTGGTTGGGAAGGGAAGCAGTCATCTCTGTCAAGTCATCTTCTGTTCATTCTCCTGCAGTGGTGTTAATTAGCTCTTGAATTATCTCCAGGATCCATATTTTGAAGTCTTTCACACCTTGCTTTTTTTTTTTCCACATTCACAATCTCTTTCATGATTTTCCTGATTAGCTCTCTATTAATCGTATGAGGTCATACACAACATCTAGAGCAGTCTTCTCCAGCAGGAATTTATTGTTTTAATATCTATGGCTTGCACAATTTTTTTCTATAAAAATCATATATATTCAATGGTGTACTTCCAGATTTTCAGGATGTTTTCTCGACTGCTATTCCCTTCCAGAGCACTGACATTACTTTCCATAGAGTATCGTGTATAATGAGTCTTTTAACCTTAATCTAGAGGCTAAATTACACATGTTGTATTTGGGGGCAAGTATATTACTCCTGGGGTTCTGCGTGGCCAGGGGTATTGCCTGTTATCAAAATTTTGATAGGCAGAATTCTATTCAGAATATTCTATTCAGAATTTTGATAGGCAGTTCCTTACAGGCAAGGTATTCCTGAATTCAAAGACAAAGCGTCAGTGAAACCGTTCAGAGAAAGGGTTCTCATTGTCCAAGCCTTATTTTATAACCAAAAGACCAAGGCTGGGTATTAGCAGCTTTATATAATAGACAAGGGCAGTCTTGATCATAAAGTGAACTGCATTTGCACAAAGTGATAGAGTTAACCTCTCCCTTCCTGACTTAAATCCTGATGCGTGCTTATCTTTCCTGCTACTAAACGTCCTCTGCGGCAGTTTTTTCCAGAGTAGGGCACTTTTGTCTGCATTAAAGATTTGCTTGAGAACATATCCTTTCTTCTCAATGCTTTTCTTAATAGCATCTGGGATCTCTTCTGCTGCCTCTTGGTTAGCAGAAGATGCTTCTCCTTTTATCCAGACACTTTAAAATTCAAATCCCAAACTTCTTTCTAAAATTATCAAACCATCCTAAGGTACTAAATCTTCAGTGTTAGTTCCTTTTGCTTTTAACTACCATATAACAACTTTGATTTTTCTCAGTGTGCCTTTCTCATGGCAGTCCTGCACCTACATAAAAGTTACATTTTCAATACAAATAAGGTATTTTGCAAAAAGTGCACGTTTTGGGTTTTTTGTGTGTGTGTGTGTGTGTGACTGCTGGCATAGCTGCAGGGATGGCATCACAAATTTCATGTTTTGCAATGTTCCTTACCCTGGACTAATTTACCTTAAAATGGTGGGCAACTGTAGCTGCAGATTTCTATCTATAGTACATAGGAAGCATGCAACTTTTACTTGCTACGTCATAACTTTGCTTCTTGGGAACACTTCTAGCATCATAAATGGCACTTTGTATGGGTCCCCTAGTTCATTCAAGGCTTATGGTATTGCAGTCAACATGATGGAATCTGTGCCAGAGCCACAAGACCTTACTTTTTACTGCGATATGCAACTTAGAGAGACAAACTGCTCACGTGGAGGTAATTCGTATCACGCAGTGTTTTAAGCAGATACTTGCAATACTGGAACTCACTGTAACAGTTATGAAACCATGGCAGCAGCTCTGTATGAAGTACAGTTTGATTTTAAGTAGCCATGATGTAATACCACATCTCTTTGCTTGTCTTAATTTCTCTCAATGGCACAGTCCCATCTTTGCTCGGTAAGTATTTCTGTGCATGGGTTTTGATTAACTTTTTATAATACAGTGCGTATATTTTATGATAGTAAATAATAGATTGGTATCTATATATATTTTATGTTAATACAGTGCGTATATTTTATGATAGTAAATAATAGATTGGTATCTATATATATTTTATGTATGTGTGACATATCTCTTCCATGATGTTTTCCATATTTCTAGATTATGCCGTTCAACTGCAAGTTTTTAAAAATTATCAGAAATCTCAAAGTATTTTTCTAATCTATTTATTGAAAAACAATCTATGTATATGTGTACCCACACAGTTCAAACCTGCATTGTTCAAGGGTGAACTGCATCGCTTTTCCTTGTTCATTCATCATCAATAGACATTTAGGTTGTTTCCTTATCTTGACTATTATGAATAATGCTGCAGTGAACGTCAGAGTATAGATATTTCTTTGAGATCCTGACTTCAGTTCGAGAAGTGGAATTGCTGGATCAAATGGCAATTCTATTTCTAACTTTTTTGTAGAGCCTTCCATATTGTTTTCCTTTTTATATTTATGCACCTTTTTATGTCCCAACCAACAGTATGCAAACGTTCCCTTTCTTGCACATCCTCAAAGCTGCCCTTTGTTTCTAACAGCCATCTTAGCAGGTGTGAGATGACATCTCTGGTTTAGATTTGCATTTCCCTGTTGATTACTGATGGTGAGCACCTTTTCATTTACCTCTTAGCTATTTTTATGTCTTTTTTGTCCATTGTTTAATTGAGTAATCTATTTTGCTATCGAGTTATAAGAGTTTCTCATATGTTGTGAGTACTAATGCCTGCTATGGTTTGAATGTGTTCCCCTAAAGTTTATGTGTTGGAAATTTACTCCTCAATTAAACAAGTGTTGAGATGTGTGACATTTAAGACATGAGTAGGTCATGAGGTCTCTGTCCTTATGGATGGATTAGTGCTGTTAGCAGAGGGATTGCACTCCTGGATAAAAGGATGAATTTGGTCCCTTTTCTTTCTGTCTCTCACTTGCTTTCTCTTTCTTGTGCCATGTATTATCTTGCCCTTTTGCCACCTGCCACGAGATGGCATAGCAAGAAGAACCTCAGTAGATGCAGCATCTTGATCCAGGACTTCCCAAGCTCCAGAATTGTGAGCCAAATAAATGTTTTTTCTTTATAAATTACCCATTCTGAGGAATT